GGCTCTGCGCTGACAGCTCAGATTCTGTGGATCTGAGGGATTTGGTGTCTCCCTGTCTGTCTGCCCCTCCCCCACTCTCTCAAAAAAAAAAACATTAAAAAATTTTTTAAAATAAAATGTGTGATAATGGTGTTGTTTGGTTGCAGAATGTCCTCATTTTTAGGAAATGTTTGCTAAAATATTTAGGGATGAAGCACCATGTTGTCTGCAACATACTTTCAAATGGTTCAGCAAAAATAACTGTATTTGCAAAGATAAAGCATGGAAAAATGTAAATAAGTGAATCCAGTGAGAACATTCAAAGAGTTTTATATTACCTCTTCACAAACTTTTCAGGTTTGTAATTTTTGAAAATAAAAAGTGAGGAGAAAATTATATTCCTATATACCAGGCATCTAAATTATATGACATACCTAGGAATGAATATATATACACACAATGTATAAGACCTCTTTGGTGATAATAAAATTTTATTAAGACATTAAAAAGACTTAAATAAGAGATATCATGTAAATGGGATTAGAAGGTCTGGTATAATGATGTAAATTCTCCCCACGTGGCCTATAGAATCATTGGAACTCCAATTAAAATCTCAGTGTGTTTGGTTTGTTTAGTCTTTGGGAGGAAGTTCACAAGCTGTTTCTGAAATGGATATGAAAGAGCAAAGAAAGAAAAGCCACAAGCTCTTGAAGAACAACAAGGTGAAAGGACTTGCAGTACTATATATAAAAACTTTTTTTAAAAGATAAGGTAACGAAGAGAGTGTATATAAGCACAGGGAAAGACCAATAAAACAAACAGTCCGGAAGTAGATGTCTGCACATACCAACGCTCAACAGATAACAGAGAAGGCACTTCAAAGCAGTAGGGAAAGGAAGGTCTTTTCAATAAACAGGGCTGGGACAACAGACTAACCCATATAAAGAAGCAAAAAAATCACCTCCTACCACACACCGAAGACATTTCCAAGTAGGATAAAACCTCAATGTGGGGGGCAAAACTATAAAGCCTTTATGAAAAAAAATAACAACCATATTCATGACCTAGAGAAAGAATAATTTTAAAGTGAAATATAAAACATGCTAACTGTAAGGTAAAAATATATTTGAACGTATTAAAATGTTAATATATCAAAAACACTGAAAAGACAAGCCACAAATTAGAGAAAGGTTTTGCAAGCACAACTCATGAAAGACTAGTATCCAGGATATAAATATAAGAATCCCCTGCAAATTATTGGGAAAAAAATTAACAAAATACTTTAGCACATACTGCACTCACCAAGCCAGTAAACATGTTGACGTTCTCATATGCTGTCAGCAGGAAAGTACGTCTTTTTGAAGAACAATGTGGCAATATATATGAACACATCAAAGGCTCATTCAGCCTCACTTGACATAAGGAAAACGCTAATTAAAACCAAAATGAGATAACATCAAGCAGCTTGGTAAAAATTAAAAAGCCAATACACCCTTGGGTGAATGTATATCAGTACAAGGATCTCTGGGAAATAGTTTGGCATGACCTGGCAAGAATCTAACGAACCTGTGCCTCTCTGGTTCTACTCTTAGGTATATATCCTTTTAAAAGTGCATACTCTAGGGGTGCCTGGCTGGCTTCATTAGGGGACCATGTGACTTGATCTCAGGGTATTGAGTTTGAGCCCCATGATAGGTGTAGAAATTAATAAACTTAAAAAAAAAGTGCATACTCTAGGGGTGCCTGGGTGGCTCAGCCAATTAAGTGTCTGACTTCAGCTCAGGTCATGATCTCACAGTTCTTGAGTTCAAGCCCCATATGGGGGTCTGTGCTGACAGCTCTGAGCCTGGAGCCTGCTTTGGATTCTATATCTGCCTTTCTCTCTCTGCCCCTCCCCCACTCACACACACTCTCTCCTTCTCTCTCATGAATAAACATTAAATTTTTTTAAAGTGCATACTCTAGGGGCGCCTGGGTGGCTCAGTCGGTTGAGCAGCTGACTTCGGCTCAAGTCATGATTTCACGGTCCGTGAGTTCGAGCCCCGCGTTGGGCTCTGTGCTGACAGCTCAGAGCCTGGAGCCTGTTTCAGATTCTGTGTCTCCCTCTCTCTGACCCTCCCCCGTTCATGCTCTGTCTCTCTCTGTCTCAAAAATAAATAAACGTTAAAAAAAAAAAATTAAAAAAATAAAGTGCATACTCTAGAATACACATACAAAATATCCACTATTTGTAATATCCCCAAGTTAGAAACCACCCAGATGTCCAAACTAAAATGGAAAAATTATAATATATTCATATAATGGAATAAGCAAAGCATAGCTACATACAATTACATGGATGAATCTTATAAACATTTTTAGCAAAAGAAGTCTCAAAGTCTATAATATAATTTGACTCATAAATTTCAGAAATGAACTAAATATTTAGGGATGTATATATGGGTGTAAAACTATAAAGAAATGAAGAGTAGGACTAGTGTTAAAGAAGAGAGAAGGAGTGTGATGGGGAGAATCATGTGGGAACTTCAGAGGTGTTAGAAATACTGTATTTCTTGACAGGGTAGTTACACTAGTGTTCACTTTATGATTTTAAAAGATGTGTGTATATACATACATACACGTATGTCTCATGTACTTTCTGTATATTCCACAATAAAATATACAAATGGCCAGTAAATATGAAAAGACATTCAACCTCATTAGTAATTAGGAAAACAAAAATTAAAACCACAGTGATCATCCATCATGATTTACCTAAAAGGAAAGACTGATAATACCCATTTTTTCTGAGGTTACAAAGAAATAGGCATTCTTATATGCTGTCAGTAGGAAAGTAAATCAATAAAGCCTTTTTGAAGAACAATGTGGCAATACAGACATCAATGTAAAACCCATATTATCTTGTGAATTATCAGTCCAAATTTCAAATACGCTAATGAAATATTAGCACATGTACTCAAAATATATGTACAAAGATGTGTACCATTCACTGCAGCAGTTCTTGCAGTAGTAAAAAAAAAAAAAAAATGAATGTCAATAAGGGAGTATTTACTAAAAGTGTCTATAACCATACTATGGAATACTACGCAGCTATTAAAAATTAAGATAAATCTCTATGAATTGGCATGGAAAGATCTCAGATATTAAGTGAACGACAGTCACAGAACAATACATACATAGCATAATCCTGTTTTTAAAATATAAATATGTACATATATCTTTATATAGATGTATGAAAAACAGACTGCAAATTTAGACTCTAACCTATTAGCAGTGATTACCTCTCAGGAAGCAAGTGGTAAAGGGAGAAGCGGGGTAAAGAGGGCACTTTCACATCTTTCTCTATATAGTTGACCTACAAACAACTTGGGTTTGAACTGTGTGGTCTACTTATATTTCGTCAATGCAGGACTGTGTTATGATTTTCTTAACATTTTCTTTGCTCTAGCTTATTTTATTACAAGAATACATTATTTAATACATATAAAATACGTGCTAATTGATCCTGTTATCAGTAAGGCTTCTTTCTGGTCAATAGTAAGCTATTAGTAGTTAAGTTTTCAGGAGTCAAAAGTTATGCGCCCATTTCCCACTGCACAGGGGGTTGGTACCACTAGCCCCCAAGTTGTTCAAAGGTCAATTATATGCACAGATATTCTATGAATCTTTTGTAAGAACATATCCATGGGCTACTCGCGTATTTTTAACAGGTGGCAATAGTGAACAACTGTATTGTTATTTATTCCATTCCAATGAGAACTGAATACATTTGGAAATAACTTGCTTTCAAAGCTAAGTCTTTTGTTGCTGGAGGGCCTGAGAGTGCCTATAGTTGTGTTACAGACCTGTCAGCCATCAAGTAATGAGTGTTGTGTAGGATACTAAGTGACTTGGTCTATTTCCAAGTTTGTCCCTTGAAAATATTTGCATACATTCTCCTATCCCGGCTTATCGGCAACAGCAATAATGTTTTCCCAAAGCACTTTGCTAAAGTAAATTCTGACGTACACATCAAATCACAAGCACAGCAAAGTGTAGATGTGGCTGTCAAGATGTATGTTTAGATCTAAATTAGTAATCACATCCTGGGTGAGTGACTTTTGGAATAAGTAGTTTGTATTTGGATTCATAAGGAAGAACCTAGACCCCACTAAAAATCCCAAGATACAGCTTGTCTTTATCGTCCTCCCTCCCCTCACTCCCAGAGCCCTTTCCAAATCAAATACTTTCTTATAGAAGTGGGAGAGAGGGATTCCTGATCATGAGTTCTTTGGAACTGGTAGTGAATCAAAATAAAAAGCACTATCAGAGTATTTATGAAGGAAAATCCAACTACATGCATACATTTTGGTGTGCATTTTATTTTTGATTGGAAACATGTCCATATGAAGGAAAATTGCCAAAGTATCTTTTAATCTTAAAAGCTAGGCCCTTGCCTTGCTGTGTCAGAGGAAAGCAAAACTAAGCCAGTAATGCTGGAGACATCCCTATTTCCGTATGCCCACTGACAGGAGAGGAGCTGTCTAGGAAATGCCTTTTGATTGATGAACAGAGGAGAATCTATACACATATTAAATACAAATGGAAACACATCAGCACACACAAGTCATTAGCCTGGTCCTCTGGCATCTACTAGCATGCATCTTCCAAGGATCTCTTATTCAATGGTGTAAGCACTTGGCCTCATTATGCCTCCTTATCAGCAAATACCTTTTATTCCAGAATGGAAAACGAGCTGGGAATTAAATACATCCAATATTGATGCTTTATTTCTATAAGTCACCAATAAGAGAATGAATTTAATTTTAATACATTTATTTTTGTGTGACTCTTAATAAAACACTTTCAAAACATTCTGTACATTTCAAGCCACTTAGAACCGCATTACATTCTATAAACGTGATTTGTTGGGATGAGGTGCCAAGATGTCTCTGTACAAAGATGTACAATATGTACAGTCACTATAAGTGCAAGCTGTGCAAAGCAGTCTAGAACACTAATTCATGCCAAGGCTTAGAAAACATTTCAACACTTAAGACTAAAGCTTGAAACTGCGTTGTCGCTTTTTCCTGGGCAAATGATTACTTTATAAACAAATATATGTATATGTCATATAGAAAGAATAGTTTGACTCCTCAGCTCAGTCAGCACCATGCAGCTGACTGGATACATTACAGGGCTGCTCTTCGAGGCCCCTCTCTCCAGGGCAACCATTTTGCCACACTCAGTGGTTGTCTCATCACTGAGCGGCCGCCGCCACTGCCTTTGACTGAACCACAGCAACACTAGGAGCTTTAAATTTGGGGAGATAAAGGCCAAACTTGTTTTCAATGCCAGCAAAAGTGGCTGTGGCCAGTCTGTATCCACCGATGTGATCAGGATTGGCAGGAGGAAGGTCTGCGATGCGTGACTTAGGTGTTGGTTCTGAGCCAGAGGGCTTGCTGTTGATAGGAAAAAGCTAATGGTTAGTGCGCTCAAGACTGATGAGGACGGCACATGAGGATGGGAGAACACTTTCAGCTTCACCCATGTGCCACAAAGAGGAGTGTTCGTCCGAATAGTTCCTGGTCATCTATGCTACGTTTGTTATGATTTATAGCTGCTTGGAAAGCAACACATTCACATTTTTTTTGGTGGTCTCAATTTATAAATAGGTCCACAGAAAAAAGATCAGAAACAAATACACTTAAATATTAAAACTCTCTGGGAAACAGGACTATGAGTGACTTTCTCTTTTACACTTTTCCATTTTCCAAATTTTCTGTACTAAGCATAAATTAGTCATAAAAAGTTTATATTTTTCTTTTATTCTGACATAGTTTAAAAAGCTAACTTTTGGGGCGCCTGGGTGGCTCAATTGGTTGAGCGTTCGACTTTGGCTCAGGTCATGATCTCACAGTCTGTGAGTTCGAGCCCCACGTCGGGCTCCATGCTGACAGCTAGGAGCCTGGAGCCTGCTTCAGATTCTGTGTCTCCCTCTCTCTCTATGAGAGGGCCCCTCCCCTGCCCACACTCTGTCTGTGTCTCTCAAAATAATAATAAAAAAAAAAAAATTTAAAAAGCTAACTTTTTAAATAGTAAACTCATGAAGTATTACTAAATTTAAAGAGAAATAGAGAGAAATCTTACGTTTACACAATCTGAAAGCATAGAAAAGCCTGGAATTGTGAGACTACTATTCTTACTTCCTTTGTTTAAGTCCCTCTACTTCTTGGTTCAACAGCTAATTTCCTATTTGGCCTCTGAGCAAGAAAGGGGGTCAAAGGTTTATGAGGTGAAGACCCAGATACGGGATTTGATCATCTGCTGAAAAGCTGATAAGTACTTGCTCGGGTACAACCTTCCCCCCTCAGCAGATTCAACAAGTAGTTCCTTTTCTTCTCAGAACAGACTTCAAGTGGCCCAATTTCTGACCTAGATCTCACCAGTGATCATGTCCATGGGCATAACCTCTCTTTTTTTTCCTGTTTGTTAGCTCTAAGAACACCTATACCTATCTAGTCATAAATTATGGTGAATAATGAAGTCTTGGAGGTATGAAAGGGCTTGATGGAGCCTTTGAAACAAAGTTCATTAAAATGTTACTAACACAAATTTACATTACTTCTGGTTAAAAGACCATATAATAAATTCAAATAATAAGGACCTAGATCCATGAAGCTCAGTATTTGCTTATACTAAAAAAGATAATTTATTCACATAACATTTTAATTTGCTGCTTGCCTTCACTTTCCCCAAGTAACTGCTTAATACTGTGTATGATGTCCCCCTACCAAGGTCTCACTCCCCTGATACTGAAGCTTCTCAAGCCCACTGTTTGTTTTATTTATTTATTTTTTTACATAGGCTTCGTGCCCAGTGTGCAGTCCCACGCAGGGGTTGGACTCACAACCCCGAGATCAAGACCTGAGCTGAGATCAAGAGTTGGATGCTTAGCCAACTGGGCCACCCAGGCACCCCAAGCCCACTGTTTGTTTTAAATGCACTGGTCCTGTAGGATTCTCTGTCCTCCTAGTTTCTAATAGTTTCAAAAATGCCTTTGTAGGCCAAAGGCCTACTTTGATTTTGGTGCTTTCTTTTACAAGGAGTTGAATAGCTGCACTTACAGGCCTCCAAAATCAATGTAAAACCACCGCTGGAGAAGTTCATAGGTGACCAAGGTAACACCAAACTGGGGAGAAGATCGAAACACTCGAGCTGAAAAAGATGGGAGTGGGGATACTTAACATGGCTGTGGCAAAGCCGACGAGTGAGTAATGGGAGCAGGTCCCTAACACCAGACAGCCATTCTGTACGGCCCTAGTCCCTACCTGCAGTCCCTTTCCAAAATGCTGAGGGCCCCTCTTCCCGGAGTATCTTCCTGAAACAGTCAATGACACCACTGTATGTCGTCTGGCCAGCACGGGCGGCCACTTGCAATCTTGTCTTGATGACATCAGCGGGGGTCACCAGAGAAGCAGCAGGCACACCTTTCAGGAGAAAGGCACATGTAAGTCATGCAAAGTACCTTATAAAGAACAGACATACTGCTAACATCTAACAATACAATTAGCAACTTTAACTGCTCTAACTCAAAGTTTCTTAAATAGATGCCTGGGCACTCCTGGAAAAAAGGACACATAAGCCTACTAGCTGCTTCAGTGTGGAACAGAATTCTTTTTTCTTTATGAATTAGAAAAATCACTCTATACTGCATGATCCCAAAGAACTGTGACAGGAAAAAATGCAGCAATATTACCAGGATGATTCCCAAGTATTCCTCTTTAGGTTTCAATTATTTTACCTCCTTTTTTTGGTAAATAAGACACAAGTATTTATGTATATAGTAAGAAATGAGGACACTGTCCATTTAATGAGATGTTAAATGTACCTGACAACAAACCAGTGGTTTTTGCTGATTCTTGTCATCTTACTGTGCAAGGTGACTGTCAGTACTCATATCCACTCACCTGTTTGAGGGCTAACTCAAGAGTTGACTGGGACTCCTTTCAGACATGCTTACATGACAGAAGTTACAATTGGAGCAGAGGCAGAGGCAGCCAGGCAACCAGTTAAGGAACAATATGAGAACCGATCATCAAAAGGCCTTATTATCTATCCCCGGTGCGTGAGCTCCCTGGGGTCATGCTGAGATTGATCAGCAGCGGGACACCCAAAATGGATTTCACAACCACGTCTTTCACATAAAACAAAGCAGGGAATAAAGGAGCAAGATAACCTTCCTCAGGGGGAAGATATTCAAATGGCCTGAATATCACTGAATCATCACCAGGCAGGTGGAGCTAGTGGACTTTGTGGGAGCCTGTTACAGGATGATGCGAATACCCCCGCTTCCACATGGCCCTGCACCGTATTCAGATGAAACAAGGAAAATTGCCTGTCTTTGGAATGTTCTGAATTCTAAATGTTCTCAGGCCCTGCCAGCAAGACTTTACTGGAAAAAAAATGAGAAAAAATCATCTTCCATTATGAAAACTTGACATCGAGTATCTGTGGGCAAAAAGTTGGTGCTGACAGTTCCATGGAAATGTTTCCTTGGTTCCATCAACTGTTGGCAAAATGCCTGTCCACGATTAGACTGTTCTTTGGCTGGTTTTTTGCTGCTGACTGGAAAGCACAGGCCAAAGTCTGGAGGGAAAATTTCCTGGCCCCATTTAAAACTGGGAGCCTTTGGTGAGTACCCAAAAGAGGCTGGATGAGCACTCAGTGCCAAGACAGAGCAGATAGTTTTTCTGGCTTTCAAATGTGCAGTTGACTGAAATAGCAAAGGCCAGAGGACACGGGATTTGGTAGACCCCAAATAAGGACTCAGAGCTCCCTGGAGAGTTTTTTTAACCATCACAAGTCATTCCCTGCCATCGTGGGCGAGGACAAGAACATGGTCCATCCCAACACCCTTAGAACCCCACCATATGCACCCCACACTTCAGGAAGTGCTCAGGCTGTTCTGCTGTATAGCCAGGGCACCAGAGGAGAACGAACCCAGTGAGAGCTATATGGCACCATGAGTCCAGGCAGTTAGACCTACACCAGCATCTGGGGACTCCGTTTGGGTCTGTGTACACCCTTCATGTTTCTATCTCTGACCAGCAGTAATGGAGAGCAAACACACGCCTTTTCCTTCCTCTGTCATTTCTGAGTGCCGGTGCAGCCAAGGACACGTGGTCCTCCCCTACTATCCCCAGTCAGCTCCTTCAAGAGGAAGGCTAGGCCTGTGCGATCAAAAGAAAACATCTTAGTACCTTCCTGCATGTGTTAGGCTCCTCTTTCAGATGGAATTTCTTTTGTGTCTAATTTGGGATCTTAGACCAGATGAAGATTTTCATTTATCCCACTGACATTTTTTGAGCTCCTATTATTACCATGCTGGCCACAAAGGGATAGTAAGGATAAAGAGAATAAAACTCCTCCCTGCAAAAAGCTCCCAGCCTAGTACAGAAGATAAAACTTACGCAAACAAGTATTATTAAAGAAAGTGTTAAAGGACAGAGAAGAGATGCCCATTTGAGTATGGGATAGTTTGCTGGGAAAGTACTGCTTACTTTGATCTAATTAGAATGACGGTAGAAGGAACATCAACAGTATCATGAGGAAAGCTCAAGTTCTAAGGCAAATCATGGGGACTCCAACATGCAAAAATAGCAAGTGAGGCAGGCTAGACCTGGGCATCACATAAGATACAGTGAAGCAACTGATTTGATGAAGAATTTTTCCACCTTAATGCTTAGCTTGGCTACACCCAAGGTTTCAGGGGCATGGGAGGCGCACATTAATGATGAAAGCCCAATTTAGATGGGCAGATCTAATTTGGCTCTGAGTTGCTAAGCTGCATTATGCTGTTTATCCACAGTATGCAAATGTAATTAACTCTCATCAGAATTAGAGCACATCCCACAAAGGAAAAAAAGTGATCATATTTAAACTAAGTCAGATACAAACAATAACCTTCCAGAAATAAAGGCAGACGGTACACAGAGATTCTGTACTTCTTAAAGAGAATGGGGGAAGGGTTCTTTGGTTTAAAAAAGAAAATTCTAGTTACCTGCCATGGCTCCAGCTGCAAGGAGATTTATACCTCCCACGTGTCCATTTTCATCAGCCAGAAGTAGTTTACAATGAGCATAAACAGGAAAATAAATTGCAGAGAAGGGAATGTCTCGGAGGAAACACGCTTTGGCACCCTGTCACAAGTGAGGAAATAGTGCAAAACAGTTATGTAAACAGGGCCATGAATGCCCATAAGGGATCCAGGGTGACAAGTATTAGGTATTCCCTCAAACAGCATGGGGACTGATGTGGAATAGAAATGGGGGGCGGGGGGGTGGGGGTGGCGAGAGGAGCATAGACAAATATACATGGCTCAAAGTTTGAGAAAGGCTTGTGGACTCGAGTCCTAGAGTTCATTAAGTGGGTAATGATGTTATCCTGATAACTAAGAATTTTCTGGCATTTCCAATACAGATTGAGATTTTTTAATGTTTATTTATTTTTGAGAGAGAGAGAGAGAGAGAGAGAGAGAGAGAGAGAGAGAAAGCGAGCACAAGCAGGGGAGGGGCAGAGACAGAGGGAGGCACAGAATCTGAAGCAGGCTCCAGGCTCCGAGCCGTCAGTACAGAGCCCAACGCAGGGCTCAAACCCATGAGCCATGAGATCATGACCTAAGCCAAAGTTGGACGCTCAACCAAGCCACCCAGGCACCCCCAGATTCAGATTCTAAGGTTAAAAAAATTTAATTCTCAAACTTCCAGGCTGCTTGTTCCATGTGGCTTTGGTGGATGCAATGGGGAAGGACATGAGTGGCAACAGACTTGGAAACCCAAGGTTAATAGCTTGATTCCAAAGTAAGCAGCAAAGGCAGCCCACAGTTCTAACAATTCACCAATTCGATCTACACAGCTTAGAACCCATGAAGTACCAGTTAAGAAGCTACAGACAATGGCAGTGGAAAAGAAAGGTGACTATTCTACAAAAGGGGAAAAAAGAAACCACCAATCTTCCCTCCTGGGCCCCCATGTCCTGAACAGCAGAGGAGGGGCGGGGGTGGGGAACTAGGACAAATTATTTTAGCGGAAGTTTCCACGGGAGCAGAAAGCTCACAATAAATGCCTCCCTCAGCTTGGTTAGTAGCCCATGCTATTCTACTGCCCAGGGCTTTATCTAGCCAGGCCAATACACTGTCTTTGGCACTTGTTTCCCTAATGGTTCTGTTTTCAAAAGACAAACTCCAACATTAAAAAAAAAAATTCCAAGAACTCTCTGAAGAATGATACAGACAGAAACAGTATCAATAAATTTAGCTCTCAAAGGTTAATTCCAAAAAAAGGATGGAAATTGCAGGTGAAGGGGAGGGAATGTATACAGAACTCTCCCAAGATTCAAGCATCATTGGTTTACTGGTCTCCCAAGAGCCCTGTACCTGTGTGAATCTAACCTAGAGAAATTCTAATTTCTAATTTGCAGCTCCAGAAGCCAATTTACACATATCTACAGCAACAGATCTATAAATAAATCAGATGCTGTGGAAACACAGTTGTCTAATAGCAGCTAAATTTACGTATTCCCCTCTTATACCAGGCAAAAGAATGGAAAGAAATACTCTTCCTTGTTTAAGAAAAATAATAGCTTCTGCTCCATTACATCTGATCTGTAATGATGGGAGTAAGTATACCTGCAGGGAAGGAATCTGTTGACTGGCATTCTGCTAAAGTACAGTACACTCTGGTTTTTTGTTTTTTGTTTTTTTTTTATGGAATTCATTATTGACAAATCCTACCACTTAACTTCTTAAGACCTGAATTCTACCAAACTCTACTACTGTTTCACTGTGGTCAAATTATTAAGACAAACATAAGCTCCTACTGGGAAGATAACAATAGAGATAACTCAGACTCAAAATAAACACAAGACTATTTTGAAGTCCTAAAACAGCCCAAAGAGAACACCAAAGAAACTTTTCCCAAACCTGTGGTCAAATAAAAGGCTGTGAGCCTAAAGCCAGCAGGTCTGCAGTGCTGGCCTCCCTGCTGGCAGCCTCATAAAAGCCTGAAGATGACAACAGGAGAGTGTGTTTGTATATCCCACTGCCTCTAATAGAAGTGTCCTGATTTTTTCTTTTTGTCTGATTTTGTACTCAAGGGACTACCCTGCTGGACAAAATTACTTTTCCAGTTTGGAGGGAGAAGCCTGGTTTCCACATTCTTTCACGGTTCTATTGAGTACATTATAAGCTGTCTACTGAGATAACCCAAGGGAATCTACCCACCTTATACAGACCAAAAAGTCCCAGGTCCCGGAGTACATTCAGGGCACTGACCCTGGGTCCTGTGGTGATTTCTCCAGCTACCTGCAGGCGAATCTTTACTATCTCCAATGGATTAGTAAAGATGACTTGAGAGCCGCCAGCCTGTAGGCAAGGGAGGAGAGACAGAAGCAGATTTCCAAATCAGAGACCGACTGACAGTGTAACCAAGAAAAATCCAGAAAAGCCTCTACATGGTACCACTTTACTCTTCCCTCTTCACAGGAGACTGAGAGTCCCATGCTTCGGCCAATAATGGAGGGGCCCACAGGGCTGGTCCCAAATTCAAGTCAATCTATGTCTGGGTTTGTTTCTATCTGAAATGTCAGGAGTATTTCTCAGACCAGTTTTTCCAGAGTCAACTCAGCACCCAAAATGGCAAAACTAATAAACTCATTTGGAAAACAAAAGTGAAGCCAGATGAGGCAGTGGGGAGTTCCCCAATGAAAGGGAAAGTGATGGCAGAAGACTGGTTGGTATCTTTTGTAAGCTGGAAGTAAAATTTGGATCTACAGTTGTTTTTTTTCTTTTCTTAGCAATCATTCTTTTTAGCTCAGCCACCCATTTCCACTGCCGTGGATTGTAAAGCAATTAACACAACTTCGCCCCCACAGACGTGCCTTAAGTCAGAGGGGAAAAGTCTCCCATGGTTCAACTTCTAAAATATATTATCCTGAGCAAAACTCTGGAGACAGATACACAGCTAAAAGGAGAGAATGTAGAAAGACACGTTCAGTATTAAGACAAAACCAGAAAAACTCTGCTAGGAAGTGGAACCTCTAGTTACCACGAGTACAAAACTGGCAAATCAAAGCCACACTCCACAATGGTGGTGAGTGACAGGGATTTGAATTTGGATAATGAGGGTGTATTTGCATCTGAAATCTGTTAACTAGTCGAGGAGAAAAAAAAGAAGAATGTTTAACAAAACTGCTACCAACTTTTTTTTTTTTTTTTTTTGGTTTTTGTAAGAAAGTAAAAAACGTATATGGGTGTGTGTATGTGTATGGATACATAAAAATACATTTGTTAAAACATAAATAAATATACACATCTCCATGAAGTGAAAAAATCTCATTTGCACATCTTCATCTGAACTGTAGCTGTTTATATTACACGATCATAACCATATTCATATAGTCATAATTATATTCTATAATTGTAACTTCCTGCAACAGCAAGTCACATGTGAATCAGGAAACAGGAAAGGCCTCACTGGGGCACTATAGTTCCACAGGTATAGAAATATTGCAAACAATACCCATAAAACCCAACACTCTACCTTCACCCCCATCCCTGTTCATTTATCTAAAACCCACAGTCCTTCCAGTCCTACTTTCATGGGGCAGCAAGTCTCAGCCATTCTGCTAACTGGCCGGAGCTGGAAACCCCTCAACTACGCCTGCTCCAATCCTGACCCCTCACTCCCATCCATGACATCCACGACTGCCAACACTGACGCGAGATTCCTTTCCACTTCGTGGGCAGCTTACTGTCCTGGATCCCCCAGGGCCCTAATCCCCTTTTTGTCCACCAAGCTCAGGGGGCGAGCAATTTGCTGTCTCTCTCTGGGTCTCCTGCAGCTCCCAAGTCGACAATCCAGACCACTGGCACACAAGTCCCCGAATGATATGTGACCCAATTTTACATGTTGATTTGCCTGTGTTTCCCTCTCTTTTAATCTGTTGCACTGCAGGCAGAAGGAAGCATTTCAATGTTTCAATCTAAGCAAACAATACTTTCAAAAGGATTGCTGGGTAAAAAATTATGTTAAAATGATAATCCAAGTAATTGCTCCTGCAGCTAGTATTAAAGACCAAACGAATTGAAAAAGTTTACTACTTCCCTGAAATCTCTTGTTTAAATAATGGTTGCAAAGACCATCTTTGGGAAAATGCACCTTACGTTCTCAACTAAAGCAGAATTAAACAAATAATAATAGAAACACAAATTTTGATTATAACCCCCAAACTTTGTCACCACCAGATGATGCCAAACCTTGGGTGATCCTCACATTAAATATGGACATCATGTTTAAATAAATACAAAGTTCTTCCATGTTTTTAATAATTAGTAAATTAAAACATCCCACAGAGCAAGAGTATTCCAACCAGCAGTCTCCCAGCCCACACTTCCTCCTCCCCGGCTCGCCACACCCTTCTGGAAATAACTGCCAGTTTACTGAGATTTGCACTCCTTTAACAACTCTTACATTTCTTTCTCAGTGTACATGTAACGTGTAACACAGTAACTGTTGTGTGCTTTGAAGATCTGTTACCCAGAATGCATACAAAGTCCTGACAATGCACTGGACATAATGACAAAACTAAACTGATTTGGATTTATACATACATCTGACAAGCGAGCATATAAACAACAAAGCAATGACACTATAGCAAGGCACATATCTATGAGTTTCATTCACACCTACATACTCTACTATATTTGAAGGAGGAAAACATCTAGCAATTGCACAAGTCTGTATATGCGGTAAAACTTATACTTTTGTATTTTATTATATTTATTTATATTCTATTATATTTATTAAAATTTACTTATATTTTATGATAGACCCAGGAATATGTAGGCAAATACTATCCAGAAACATTGAATAATTTAAAAAAAAATAAAAATGACTATTTAAGTTGTCTAAAACTTTGGATATTTCGTAACAATTAAAGGGAAACACACATGGCAAATATGTGCTGTCCTTTTCCGAACTCTGAGATTGACCTAAACTGGGGACATGAGATGGGGGGATAAAATCTGCAGTTAATTCAATTGCTCTAGTAAGAAATCTAGTGACCCAGAACAAAGATTATGTTTTACCACGTTTTTAAAAACATTTTTGAAGTTTATTTATTTTGAGAGAGACAGAGACAGTGAGAGTCGGAGAGTGGCAGAGAGGGAGAAAGAATCCAAAGCAGGCTCCATCCTGCCAGAGCAGAGCCCGATATAGGGCTTGAACCTATGAAACTGTGAAATCATGATCTGAGCCAAAACCAAGAGCTGGACACTCATCGACTGAGCCACCCAGGTGCCCCAGGTTTTATCACATTCTTAATTGTTTCCACTCTGAAACACAAATATAGGAAAATATCATTTCTATTTTAAGGCTCTACTGATTTTAAGTAATATTATTACATTAAAAACAGCTTTTCACAGGGAAAAAGCCCTGGTTATAATAAATATAATCATTGAATATGCTGAATTTCAGAAGTGTTAAATTGTGAAATAAAAATATGATAACTTTACAATAGAATAAAAAGTATATTTTTACAAATATGTCCATATGTTTTGCTTTTTACAAATATGCAAATATGTTTGCTACTTTAAAGAGCAATAAATTAAACAAAAGAATGTAAATGCCCAAGTAAGGAAAGAGTTAAGTGGAAACAATTATATGCTCTTGATCAGGTAATAGGACCATAATAAAATCATGCCAACGTAAACAAAACATAAACTATAGGTATCCACTGATGACCAATATGTCAGAATTAACCTAAGTTCATCAAAATTGGAATGGCTTAGAGATGAAAATATTGGTTGCCTCCTGGAAAGAGAAATGTGTACCTGAAAGCATATCCTATTGTACCTTTTAAATTCTGAATTATGAAATGTATTAACTGCTCAAAAACAAAAAATAGAAAAAAATAATGAGAAACAGAACTGGTCTTAGAAACAATGACTTCTTTTATAGACTATGTCCTCTTTCACACATTCTTCCCCAGAATAAATTTGGGAATTTATATACGTTGAATGCATCTTAAAAACTAGTTAGCACTAGTTATCTGTGGATCCAAAACTTTAAACAGGCTTATCCATCTATTTAGGTATGAACATCAAGCAATCTAACCAAATATAGATAGTGATCTGAAATAACAGACACCAAGATATATAAAATTTCAAATTAAATTATGATGATACACAGCTATACAGTCTTAAATGGACACGGTCTCATCTGCCATCCTGCTGCTCCTTGTACTGATGCTTACATTAGATAACGCCACTCCATACAATACCTTTGAGGAACTTGTTTCACTCATCAAATCACCAAAATTAACTTCTAAACTTCTACTTGCTAAATTTCCCTCTTCAAATTTGCTGCCTATTTTTATAGAGAGAAGCAAGCATTGATATTAAAACTATGTTTTAGAAGCTTTCACTTCTCAGTACTAAGTTGTTTCTTTGTTCTAGAATTGAATTACAAATGACACAATAAAAGAGAACAACTCCCATTTTGAATGAAGGTTATCTATATATAACAGAAAGAGAAAGAATGTAAACACTTCCATTCAATCTTGTGTCACATAAATTTTTTCTTAATGAGAAAATAAACCAACTAAAGTGGACAGCAAAAGTCAGGAAAAAAGGATGGAAAACTGAGATGTCACCAAGCCTCTGATGTGCCCGAGGCCAAGGGGCTGCACGCAGGATCAGGCCTGCTCAACCTCCTGCCCTCACAATCCTGCCCCAGGGGCAGAGTCCACAAAGAGGCAGGAGGACCTGGCCCTGCTCGTGCCAAGTCTCCTGTTTACTTTCTTCTTTGATCTGTTTCTCCTGTAGTTTGGAAATATTTCCCTCTAACCACAATCTGAACAATTCATTATAAAGTCTTTCCTTACAGATATTGATGAAAATCTAATTTCAGTTTAAGGCCAGACCAGGAACTTGAGCAGATGTACAAACTATGTGCATTTAAAATAGCCAAACAAATAAAAATTACAGAATTAACTGTCACCAGGACTGAGTCCAGAAGTATAGGAACAGACAGTGACTCTGTCTCAGATACCATCAACCAAACATTCTTACATATTTTATAAAGCAATGGGAAATATTAATGGTTCTTTCTAAAATAGCCTAGGACCATGATAACTTAAAAGGACTAAAGTACAATTTTCTCATTGTTGAGTCACTAATATATGTGAGGGTGTTAAGATATGAATAGATAAAACTACACATACCTCTCACAAGACTAAAGGAAGAGTCAGAATCTGTGTATCTATCATGAGCCCCTCTGACATAAATATATATGGACTTTGAACTTGTACACATATGTATGTGTTCACATAAATATGCAAGCATCAAGTTGGGAACACACTGAT